CTTTATACTGTGATTCCATGTGGACCTTCACATGAACATTATAATGCCAGATCTCTAGATATGTAAATAAAGTACAGAAACATCATAAAATGTGTAAAATGTGCAATACGCAGGAAGACTCAGTAGATTGCAGTAGATTTCAGTGTCTTCACTTCCTCACCTGCGCACAAAAGGAGGATTTGACACCTCAATGGAGATTTTACACAAGCATATAATAAAAGAAACCAACCATCTGACTTCCTGCTTGTTTTACTGCAAGCATTTCTTTTGTTATGCAGCTAAAGCACACATTTGATACACTACAATGGGACAAGCTGGATTTAAATATTATGAAAATGCTCACCTGAGGTGGAGGAGCCATTGGTTTGTTTGAAAGTTCATGTTTTACATTTTCATACACATTTTCATAATCAGGATTCTCGTATATATTAGATTCAATCCTCTTCCCCAGAATCGTTTCATCTCCTTGAGCATTCTGGAAATTAATGACTACTTCATAGTCCAAGTCCTATAAATAGTCATTTGTGTTTGTTAAATTACAACATTAAACAATTATGATCACTTAAGGTGAAAGTCTGATAAAAATGATCATGTTGCTGACATTAAACAGTGGTAATGCCTATGAATATCATGATTGATTATCTGTCAATATCCATATATCTCTTTATTTTAGCAGCATGTCTTTGTGCAGTAATATGTGAAAGATTAAAGTCCTTTTGAGCTGAGTGTATAATATACTCATGTTATAAAAGCCATAAACTCTTTAATTGCCTTTACGGAATAAAAGACCCAAGATACAAAATAGGCTGAATAACTGAATCTCAGTTAATAACAATGAAAACGAATTAATCTGACATCAGATTTACAGTTTTAAACAGATATCCTTATAAGGTCAAATGGTTGTGATGAGTCAGAAATTAAAGTCACTCACTGTCTCCTCTCTGCTTTGTGTTGCTGTTTAAAGAAAGAAAAACTCAATGAGTTTGATACTGAAAGATATATATACTGAATCTGTAATATGAGTAGTTAATCTGCAATCGATTATAGGATGGTCTTTATCATGGTCAATCTAGCTTTAATTGGTGATGTCAGTTGTGCAATCAGATCATACTCATGTTGGCATTATTAATAAAACAAATAAACATACCTTCACTTGCCCGTCTATTTTGTTGAAGGTTTGGTTGTGGGCTGTGGTGGTAAAGACAAAGACATTTTGTTACAACTATTTGCTTTTCTTCACCACATAAAGTAGCAACTTATAACAGTTGTTTCTACTGAGATCATGGTCATTTTGATTCTATGTGTATAAAATATCACAAACACATTTGGAGGAAATTCACTGCAATTGGACACAATTTAGAGTTTGATATGTAATAATGTCATATATAAATATATACAAAAACTTCACAAGTCACATGTGGATCATTAAAGACCCTGATGGATTATTAAAGATCTGTTTGAACCTGATACAATTTGTGACAAATACACTCACATATTTATGTGTAAAATGTGAAAGCTGTGATTACAAATTACACAGATAGGTGCTAAATTACTCACATTTTCTTAGCTTTTATTAAATAGACAGTCAGACCACAAATGCCTGCAACTGCCACTAAAACCCCAATGACAATCCCAGCTATCGCCCCTGATGACAGCCCTCCTCCTCCTCTTCCTCCTACTATGACAAAGAATAAAAACAATTGATCAAGGTCATGTACGGCACACAATACTAATAGTAATGCACTTCAGCCTCAACATTTTTATTAAAAAATACATACATTTAAAACCACACATTAAAAATATACGGTATATGAACATATTGCGTTCCCATGGGAATGTATTTCATGTCTAATTATCTAAGCGTATTTGATAAAAAATGCTGCAAAAGACAATAAATTTACTTTTATCCAGAGTAATTCAACATTTTATTGAAAGCAATACGACAAAATAAAACAGCAGAAAAACGTACAAAATAGTGTACTAAATATTTAAATAAATTTAAATAAATGGTAAATTAAGCTAATTTCATGTTAGTTTGAACTAATCTTACCTTTAACTAGTAAAGTATGTTGTTGTGTGGCGTTTCTCTTTGTGACATTATTCCAGGCTGTGCAGATGTAATCTCCACTGTGTGTGAAGTCAGTATAATCTATGGTGAATGTGTCTGTGGTCACATCAGTGTCTGTTTCATTAATCTTCCATCTGAACGAGGCAGCAGGTTCAGAATTTGCAGAGCAAGAGAGCGACACAGGAACCCCTAAATCTACCACATCCTCACCCTTAATAGAAACTTCTTCTGGTCCATCTAGAGCACAAACAAAAGACTCACTGACAAACTGAGCACTGAAGAATGTCTGTATTTCATCAGGTTTGAGCTCAAATCATCTTGATGTCTGAATGTTTAACACTCACAGTTGATGATCAGGCTGAGTTGTGCCGTCTCAGAGATGGCAGGGTTTCTGTATGTACATTGATATTCTCCACTGTCTGATCTCTGCACTGGACTGATGGACACTGATCTGTTATCAGATGAGAAGATGATGCTGTTGCTAGGAGACAGAGGACTGTTATCTTTCATCCACTGCACAGAGATGATGTTGCCAGTTCCCTCAGAGCTGATGTTAGCAGATGATTCTCCCTCTATTAATAATTCTTCTGGACCAATAAGCCTGACATTAGTTATTCTTTCTGTATGAGTGAGAAAGAACAAACACACTAGATTTAAAATTAGTCTTTCACATTGAGTGACCATTTCACATTTTCACATTTAGTGTGGTCAAGGGTGGTACAGAAGGCCAATCAACAATGAAAGGAATGTTTATAAGTTTGTATATGTGCGCCCTATAGACTGTTTATTTTTAGTTCAGTGTCTATTTATATCATCATCGTTTGTAACATATAATTTATCATTTTAATGGGTTATCATAGCTGAAAGAAGACAGAAAATCTGGGTCTGAGACAAGAGTATAACAACAAAAATCTATACTGTAGTCTAAAAGTTATTTCAAAATAAATTATAAAGCTACAAATTTTTATGTAACAACATTTTTAAAAGTTTAAACATGCGAGTGCCCTAAGTAACACTGTGCAAATCTGGTTCAGTAACAATTAACCACAAAGCTCACTGCAAAATAACAGCAGATTTGTGCATATCTAAACTATTATTATACTCTCATGAGCACTTCTGCTCGTCACTTTTGACAGTTTTACACATCCGTGTTTCATTTACAGCATATTAAATTGCTTCATGTCGCTTTTTCCCCTTCCACACATTAAATTCATTTCATATAATCATATATTAAGCCTACGTAGGCGATTATTAAATATTAAATCCTACTGAAGTTTAAGCAACACACTCACCGAACACTTGTAGTGAAGTTTCTCCTGTAAATTGTCCTCCAGCACTAGTTAATACAGTCAGTCTGTATATTCCAGAATCATCCAGTCTCAGGTCCCAGAGCTCCAGAGCGAGAGTGTTTATGTCAAAACTGACTCTGTCACTGTATTCTGGGACTATTGTAGTTGAATCAGACTGTGCTGTCAATATAAGAGTTGTTCCAAACTGCCACTGAACTATATTAAGTGTTGTGGAGGGCGGGTTATCAGGAGCAAACACCACACTTCCTCCTACTGCTCCATTAGCCGGACCAGAAAACTGCAGGTCTTCTCCTAAATACTGGCCTATGTCAAAGAAAGAAAAAAAGAATAAAAGAAAGATATAACTAATTCTTCTAGACAAGGCATACTTTTTATTTGCTACAACTACTGTAGTTGAATAATTACGTTCCAACTATCTAGTTATTATACACAGCAATTCAACATACATTTTGAATTACAAAAAAAAGCCTCACCAAAAAACGATAACATCCACAGTGTACAGTACAAACTATCAGAAACCATCATGATCGAGCTCTCAGCTGTCAGGAGCTGCTGCTTAAATCATCTGAACTATTTACATCAGGTTTCAGTCAATGATAAACGGCAGTTCTAGACAGCAGAGCTCACTGCGCCACCTAGCGCTGGATATTAACACGAGTCTTACCTTTGATCATTCAGTAAAGTTGCCAACATATTCAGTTCCCAGTCACGTGACTGGCTCGAAGACCTGGAGGGCAAAACATCCATAGAACTGCAGCACAAGCCTGTCAATTTTTCTCTTTCCAAGTAACAAAAATTTAGATCACCTCTCAAAAAACAAAAACAATGCCATTTGTAATTCATATAAAGCATCGCTAAATAAACGCGACATTCTAAAACATATGACAAGTATGCATCATCAATAAGGTTTATGCGGAATTTGGCCTTTTAATAACAACCTTGTAAAAAAAACAACTGGCGGCCAGCATGCCAGTAGCCAGCTATGAGGTCACCAAGATCCGGTGTTACGAGATGATCGGTTTCCGAGATTTTCAGTTTCAGTGGGCGGAGCACAGATGAATATTCATGAGTTTCCCAGACATGCGCGTGGAACCAGGTGGAACTGAGAATTTCAGTTCAGGCTCCTTGTATCTCAGCGGGTATTTAAAAAAAAAAAAGGAAAATATATTTCTAGCGTTGCACAAACTACATTTGTTTATCATTTCGTAACCGTTTATAATGTTTTTATTAGTTTACAGTGCACGTTTTGTGAAGTCCCTGACTGAATGATTGCAGACATTCTTTGTGTAATGTTAGGATAAAGCACAGCAAACTTCAGCTAGTCGTAGTCTATACATTGATTTCAGTTCTTTGTGCTCTTCATTTGTAGCTTGCGATGCTTTAAAACTTTGTCTGTTATTAGTTGTTATAACATGAATGAATAAATAGGAATAAATGAATACATCACTGCCTGCAACAAATGAAATAAACCTGAATAAACGTATCTGTAGACATATTTTTTGTATACTGGTGTGATGATCCATGTCTTAA